CATGAAATCTTATTAAATTATTAATGTGTGTGTGATATACCATATAGAAAACAAAGCTTAAAAACATTGTCTTTCAGTATGTACTTTACATAGGCCTACTTCAAAAACGTGATTTCACAACCACCTCAGCCGCACAATGGCTGGGGCTGAGGTAAAAAAATTTGAGGAAATAGTACCTCTCGAGATGGCCGGAAATGACACTTTTATATAGTAAAATTCATCATCATCACATCACCATTATAGTCAAAATGAAACGCCAAAAAATTTTCACATGATCTTTTATCAAGGATCTTAATATCCATATATCCAATAATATTAATAGCAATAAAAAAAAGAAAAATGTTTGTTGATCATAATTATTATAATATTATATATATATATATATATATAAAATATTATAATAATTATGATCAACAAACATTTTTCTTTTTTTTATCGCTATTAATATTATTATCAATTATTACTATCGTCATCATCATCATCATCATTGTTATTATTTATTACTATTAGTAGTAGTATTATTAAAAAAAGAAACTTGCAAAAGGGGAAAAACGAAATTGAACCACAGTATCGCATTTCTATCTTAAAAGACCTGGCCTGAGATTTATGGATTTAGGCCTATGTGTTCTATTAGGCATATGTATAACGTGTACTGATGCATATTTACATGTTTTAGAGTATTCATTTTGAGTGATCCAGGAAAGAATTTGTATTGGCTCAAGAATAAGCTTTAAAATTTTAACACTGTGTACAAAGCTCCCCCACCACCGGATACGTACCTGTGAGGGACACAGACATAGACGGGGGCTTTGGCTTCTTTTAATAACATAGCGATAAAATCCATTATTCGAGTACAAGTATTTCAAATGCAAAGAAATTCAAATACAGTAATCGAATATGATTGCATAATTATGTTACAGGTCAAGCCACAAAATCAGTCAACTTCTTAAAATGCTCACTTTACGCTGTCCTCTGGCACAGTGGTGTATCAAGGAGACTTGAAATGGTGTAAGGGGGTGGGAACGATTGGATGATTGAGGAGAGCTATATATCACAAATTAAATGGTTTTAAGAACACCAAAGACAAAAAGTCTCTACCGTAAATCATTGAATAGGGGTGGCGACTGGGCTTTTAAGGCGCACGCCTCCAGCCCCGCACAACCCAGATACGCCACTGCTCTGTAGAGACATATTTTGAGGGTTGACAGGCCCCTGCCCCACTTTTGGAAAGTAAGAAAAAGAAGAAAGAAAAAGAAATTATTCCCAAAACGCCTCATTTTGTTTCCGGGTGTGTGGAAAAAAAATTTCCTCTAGGGTAATGTTATCTCTCGATCTCCACCCCCCACCCCCCCATTTTTGGACACCTCTGGATCCGTCCTCGTTGGTGCGACTATCCCTCCCTGGCTTCTTTTGTAGCTAGCCAGTAGCGTATTTATGACGTATATTCTTTAATTAATGTGGTACAGTATTTCCATTGAAAAAAAAATATCAAAACAAAATCTTGTTGAGTATTTTGTATTACCTTGAACTATTAACAATGAACCCGCAAGTGCTGGCATCTGGGATCGACGCCAACTACAGTACCTAATTAAACTGCAGATCAAGTAGGGATTTGTCATGTTCTCAACTACCCCAAAATTGGCAAATAATCTAACAAAAATCCCACTCGTTTGACCCTGATCCAGGGTTTTGTATGATGCTATTAATACTGTATTAGAAAACGTTTTAAGCGTAATACGGTTAACATCTGAATGACAGCTTTACTACATTTTATCGCTTTACGATTCAGTCTTGTCATTATGAGCAAAATTGATGCCAAAAAATAATATTTCGTCCATGATTTAACAGCTGCACGCTTTCCATAAATCGAAGTAGAAGCTGCTACAAAAGAGGGATCCTTTTTTTTTCAAAGACATATCCTCCCATTCGGATAGCGGTCATCTGGTCTATGTTAGATATCTAGAAAAGTGTGTTGGTCTGTTGGACTTGCCTATCTAAAGCTTCTCGCGATGAGAAAACACAAAATACGCTCTTACGTTGATTAAGCCTATCTGAAACGGCAGAGACATAAAG